GAAACGTCGGTTTCCCGCGACAACCAAGCAGGTGCGCGTGAGAAAAAGATTTACCAGAGCGGTAAGGTTTGAACTGTGTATCTTTTGTTAAAAATATCGTTTCACTGTTCATTAACGGACAAGTCGAGATAAATGTTATACTTAAGACCGTAATTTGCATAGTTAAGGTGCCATTTTATCTGAATTTAGTTCGTGAATAGGCCTACTTCTTAAATGTCTTATAAGAAATGTTGGGTATCTGCCAATATAGGCTAGTATTATGGTACTACTTGGACATGAGGACAAGGTACCATCATCAAACATTGATATTTTTGGACTTTTACTATATTCTTTAAAATACTTAAACGTGAGTATAGTAACTCAAAGATTATCTATCTATCTATCTATCTAAATAAAAAAAATGAAATACATTAATAAATGAATCTAATCTAATCTAATCTAATAAAAATATAATTAAATTATATTAATAATTAAAATATATATTAAAAATAGATGTATATTTTTTATAAATGCTATTTATTTTACAGGACTGAGGAGATGGGGTGATGAGTGGGAAGATGAGTGAAGGTCAAGACAACAGTGCTGAGGATGCTGCTGGCTGACATGGGACATCTCAGTGACAGCTTTGGCCGCCATTCATCGCCATTCTCTGTGATTAACTATGATGTGCCAGGATGGACATCACTGAGGCGGGTATATTGTAGGGCAAGAGCCTTGCCTTAAATGGCAGAATGGCACCACATCTTGTTTTGGGGAGATGCAGCACTGTGGCATTTGGCATACCTTATCAGCATTTGGCCGCCATTCATAGTGTCTGCAGGGCTTTTTTTCTTCCAGCGTCCCAGTTTTCGTACTCATGCAACATAGCAAATCCTTCAAAAGTTGTATGTTTTTCTCGACTCAGCCATCAACTTTCCACTAACAAAATTGATGAATGCCTTCAAATGATCCATTATGATATCTTTAAAGGTGTGTGGGTATAAATAGCACTGAAGGACACTTCCAGAGAAAGGTTATCTGCCAACCAGTCATTAATCTGTTGCGTGGGGTTAATTGTCTCGGAGTTTGCTCTCGTGTCAACATGGTAACAAAATGACCATCACTTTAAAGGCATTTATCAACTCCAATATTTACAGGAAAAGTTGCCTGGGTGTGATTATAATGAACGTGAAGCTGGTATAGCACATCTTGGCTTCGTGTAGATGCTTGAAGCAGATGGTCCTCATGGCCGTAGCTCAAGCCTCTTCTCTTTACCCAACTTTCTTATCTCTGCCAGGCCCTTAGTCTTAGGCTGTGCGCTTCTGGCACCGGTCACGCACGATATTCAGTTTTTCACGAACACAGGCTCTATTGACCATAAACACAAACAGATATGTGCGCATTGGGACCAGCTGTCCCTTTCGTTTCACGTTCTTACTTTTATTTGTATTATTTCCACACCTTTTTGAATCGACTTTCCAACTCGCACCAATATATAAATCTCCTCTATGAATAACAACGGCCGTGTTTTTCCAGACAGATGCCGTGCAGCTCCAGTAAATTGTTCTGGATTTCATTCTCATTGATTCCAGACAGGTTTTTTCCAACAATGGGTGCATTATTGGATGGTTTTCCCTGGCTTCCTCTGGCAAATTGAAACATTTTGGACCGCGCTGGGGCAGACGGTCATGCGGTGTGTTTCTAATTGGTGGAGCGCATTTGCAGCAGGTCCCTATTACTTTCTTTGTTTAGCGTTTGTCTAGCAGGCGAAATCAAGCGGAAGTTTTCCACAGTGGCATGAGACTTCTATTTCTCTCACATTAATGGCTTCTTGGGAAGTATTTCTGTCATCGCTTGTCTGCAATAGTTTAAGCTCTCATATCTTTTGAGTACTTGTCTTGGACTGTAGCAGGCTTAGAGAATTTCTGCATGTGACATTTCAAAGACATTGTTGAGGTATCAGTCATAACAGCCGAGTAATATCGATGCTAACAAGACCACAGATGAAGAGGAACTGTTTATTTGGCTTCATGCAATTCCCTTTACAGTTTAATAACCTGGAACATAATGGCATCTGCCAACAATCAGAAGGGAGAATGCATGGAAATAAACACTGGTGCTTCCTGGTTTTGTCAGATGCTCTCAAGTTTGCTCTGCTAGACATTTTCTTTTGTCTAGAATTAGATTTTCTAGGATGTTGAAACTATTTCAGGCCATGCACAGGAGTATTATTCATACCAGCTGATAATTTTATTTTATTGCAAGAATTTAATAAATTATATTTCGACAGAGTGAAAACTTTAAATTTGGCATGAAATGAGCATTCACTCTATCTGTTTTCATCTTATTGTTATTTTTTGACTATTTTTAATCAAAATGTCAGTCTTTCTTAAACAACAAACTTCACCGGACTTCTCATGTCATTTTGTCTCCTTAAACCCTGTCTATTTAAAAAAAACTTTTTTACAGTCAACTGCAAGTTTCAGATCTGCCTCCACACAACTTAAAAACAATGGATAGAACGATGTCTCCAACCTAGATTTTTTTCTTCGCTTTTTGATAATCCATTTAACTCAAATGGACGTGACAATATGGAAGAAAATGAGGAAATATGGAAAATAAATTTGTCATATCAGCAATTTGAAAATCGTTAGTAACGCCAATGTAGCGTGGTTTCACGAACATGTCGTTCATGGTTTGCAGGCTTCCAGCTGGTGTTTTCTGAATTTGCCACAAAACAGATCTTCATTTCGGCACTTGGACGCTATAGATCTATACCTTGTAAATTTCAGACCTGCCTTTGATCTGCTAAGTTTCCAGTAATCTAGAATAATGTGAAGGTTTGGGCATTGCTAGGTGGCAGAGTACTTTTCCATTGCAAAGCTTGTGCCAGATGAAAGAACAAAATTAAAACAGATGTAGACAATCTTGTTTTGGGGCGTTTGAAGTAAAATAAGGTTAGCAAGAAGATGCCATACATGCACATGTGGTTACTTTTTTGATTTTTCACATTGATTGAAATAGACTTTCTAACCACTATATGAATGCAGCAGGATTAGACAAGTCTTAAAACTTTACTGCAAGCTTCTGTATTTTTTAATGTATTGAGACTAAGTCTTTAAAAATCTAATATTTATGGCTTATGATAGAGATATCAGTCATTAGAATGTCTAAACACTTTATTTGTGTGCAAATGTGTGTTGTCATCGATGCTTATCCACAGTGTTTGATATACATTGTTTATTGAACCTACTTGAATACAGTTCTTTTTTGTTTGTTTTTAATTCATAGGGAAAGGGAGCCAGCTATATATTCAAGTATATTATTTTCCTCATCAGGAGAAAGTTTATTAAGGTAAGAATATACTATAAAATGTCACAAAGTGTTGCATGTGAAACTTGAGAGCAAGTTTAATCAAAGCAGGTCAGATCAGTGCAAGAGTGCCTTCTACTGGGCAACAGAGGAACATGAGATTGATGCCAACAATTATCATGTGTTCATTTGGTCTAAATTATTTGTGCACACATAAGATAAGGTGTCAATTTTATCTTCATAATTCTTTTAAAAAATCATTCTAAAAGATGAGTTTTTGATGTAAATTCTAAAAAATGCTAAATCTAGTCAAATCTTTTTTTTAAAATTATATTTCTGTAAATTATTTATTAAGACAAATTAGTTTTCAGCTGGTAAATAATGTATTTATATATGTTTACATGTATATACTCTAATAGGTTTGATCCAGAGCTCAACACACTTCATTTAAATTCATCTCTCCTCATTTATATGCAGTTTGGATCCACAAAACTGTTCAGAAGCAATACCACTTAAACAGACTGCATTGTTGAAATGATTACCAACCCCCCCCAAGCTCTCATAGTTAGAGGGCTGTAATTGCATTCCTGTGCAATGTTAGCCCATTCTTCGGCTGTGTGTGGACCCTGATGACCTGTGAGATGTATATAGTAAACAGTGCTTGCTGGCCGTATGGCACGGCTCCCAATCAGGGCTAGTGTCCAGACCCCTGCCGTTCTGTTCGCAAGATTATCTGCCGTCATTTCTCACCGAACCCGGCATTACTGTGGCGGACTCTGAGTTTTAGCAGCTACGAGTTTTATTTCGAGTCAGAAAGTTCACACTGAGAGAACTTAAAATTAAATGTATAATAATAATAGTAAAAAATTTAGATAAAGCTAAAATTCTAAAAAAAAAAAAAAAGATATTTACTAATATATATATTTATAAAACAAATTTTTATTAATATTGCTAATTAATTTAGTCATGTTGAATTTGATCCATTTTAAGGGCATTTTGAGTATTTGAAACCTTACTTTATTTATTAATTTATTTTGGTTCAAGCTTAAGAAATATTGAAGAGGTGTGTTTTTAGTGTATTATTCCAATAAAAAAAAAAGACAGTTTTCACAATGAAAATTTGATCACCGTTTTTTTTAATCTGCTCATAGGTTTGCTGCTCACTTTTGCGATTAGTGACTCAGACCTTCGGATAAGGGTTACCTGTGGTGCTCCATTCCTCCTTTCCCAACAATGTTCCCAATATCTCCGGCTAAATCACATTCCTTCGTCACAATGGGAGAACTGTTTGATGGTTAGTCTCTCCCTCTCACGCCCATATCTCAGGTATTCCCCTTACTTAGGCACCTGAAGCACCCAGACCTCTCATAACCTCTGTCACTATATCACTTTTGAGCTTAGGAGAAAAAAAACGCATTTCATTGATATATAATATAAAGTAAAAAATAAAGTCAATTAAGAAAAAGAAAAAGTGTTTTATTGCAAAAAATAAGTACTATAGAAACTTACAGAGGTCGGGACTCGCCGTAAATGCTATTGAGATGGTCAGTGCCTTAACTTTGTTAATAATTTAAAGTAATATCATTTCAACATCGTCAAAGCAGAACTGTCAATAGGCGTAAAATATGTTTGTTGGTGCGCTCTACGATTCGAAAATAAATTCGCCCCAAAAAAGAAACCTTTTCCGGCTCGGGGATGAAGTCCAAAACAAAACATTGCATGATAGTCTTTAAGTAGTTCCATCTGTCCAGCAGAATTTCAGGCTAATAGCCTGTGGCGCATCAGTCCGTTCCCTTAACTCCCGCAACCTGACTCTGTCCTATTAAATCTCTCCACTCCTCCAAAAAAAAAACAAGTGAATAAAGGAGAAAAAGATCTTGAGCAGACTTAAGTCAACTAAATTGTGATAGTGATGATGATGATGATGATGGCAGTGGTGATGATGAAGCGCGAGCCCTAATTAAAGAGAAAAAAGGACCTCAGGCACTCAGTGATGTGGAAAAAAAGGGCTCATCATTGTGGTGTATTTTTTTAAGGACAGCTCGCTCTGTGAGCAGATGACTGCCGCTCACCTTGCCACGGGGTCTGCGTGAGATTGGTTCATTGTCAAGGTTTTTTTTTTTTACCCATGATTCCATATGGTATGGAGTGGGCTACATGTTGCCCAACATGCCAGTGCAAATGTTTTCTCAATTAGGTGTCTTATCTCCGGTGAGTGCACTAGCATCAGATAAAGCTTGCTGACAGCGTAATGGCAGCTAAAACCTCGGAAGGCTCCATCAAATGGCAGCTCTGCTACGACATCTCGGCCAGGACTTGGTGGATGGTAAGTTGGCAGCGAATGTACCTTTTTTTTCTTCTTCTTGTTCTTCTTTTACCTTTTTTTTTTTTTTTTTTTTTTTAGGTAAAACTTCCCTCCATTCTTTTCCAATGCACACACACAACACACTTAATTTTTTTGAAACTCCGCTCTTCAGTTTTTACATCCAGTTGGTCGAAATTAGTTTTTTATTGTAGTTTCGTTCCACTTAATAGCTCCTCTGTGGGTCCTGTCACTCTTGTTTTCTTTGTTTGCTCTTTAATGTACTCCTCTTTTATTGTCCAAGATGTCAAAGAACAATCGACTATTTAAAAAAAAAAAACATCCACGTGGAAGCAAAAGCTCTTTTGTCACTTTACGCATTTCTCATTCATTCATTACTTTTCTGCTGTCAGTCCGTATCCGTAAACGAGACGTCCCGTGTGTGTGTGTTTCTCTTAGCAAAGTCTTCCAAAGTTTTGCGCAGGAGTCCAAAGAAGGAAAAACAGGATGATTCTTTTAATCCCTTGTTTACACTGAGGTTTTGTGGTCCACGCGCGGTCGCTTGGTGCTCCGCTCCACGGCTGTGACACTCCGTCGCTGCAATTAAAGCATGGAGAGGAGAAGGAAAAAAAAACTCCAAAGTGTTCTGGGACAAGACGGACTCTGTGCCGGGGCAGATTAACTTGCTTGTTGTGGTCAGTGAGGCCAGACAACCTTTGACATAACTGTCGCTCGGCTCAGAAATGAGAAGAGGTGAAAGTGGGAGAGGAAAAAAAGACCGGTTTGTAGATCGCAGCGAGATGAGGAGGGGTAGGGATTCACAATAGTCTATTGTGGCCGGCAGTTACAAATGAGCCGGGCACATGAAAGGCTTTCCAGAGCGTCCTGGGTTCATTAGGCATTGATTCATTACCTCGGCTTGAACTTAAACCGCATTATTGCCTTCATTATTATAATTGCTATTTTTTGAACAAATCTGCATGGTGTCCGAAAGAACTTTTTTTTTTTTTTTTTGTTGCACACACTCCTTAAATACAAGGTAGTTGTGTTGCGCTGGGACAATAACTTATTATTTCCCAGTTAGGGGAGCATAAACTTCAGATGTCAGACCCCTTCCACTTTTCCCCTCTAACCCGGGTCACACAAGCTTGTCTCTCTGTGTGACACTGCTGAGGAAAGTTGGTGAGAGAGAAACTGGAGTCTTTTTTACTGGCTTTATGGGAAACTACCCAGATTAGAGGAAGAGAAATGTTAGACTCTGGTATCTGTGTGAAGGGCTTAATGGGATCGGTGCATTTTCTGTCAAGTTGAGGGTGGTAATGTGTATGAATTCTTCTCTGCGATACACAATGTGGCACTGTGGGAATGTGAGCTTGGGGACTTTTTTTTTTATTTAATTTTTTTTAATCCCTTTAAGTTTTTATTTAATTAGATTTAAATTCTTTCTAATTTTGGATTTTTTTTTTAGAAATTTAGATTTTTGTTAGTAGTTCCATTTTGTGTTTATTTTACGAGTTTTCTTTTTTTTTAAATGTTAATCGTAAATTGCACTTTCTGTAATATCTTATTCATTTGAATTGCAAAGATAACGGAGAAATAGAGGCATGATTTTTTTCACTCCTGTTGTGCTGGTGTTAATGTTTTACAACTTAATAACAACTTAACATTTCAAAATTATACTAGTCTTAAAACCTTAAAGCTAAAGTATATTAGAATATTAGCGTTTTTGTCTCTCTTTGGATAAAATGATTTAATATGATTTGAAATTCTGAAATCACATTTTAAATGTAAATATATTGGATGGTTTTGCTTGGAATGTTATTAGAATTTGAAATATAGGTTAGAGTTTTTAAATTGTCTTTGGTTATAGTACAAATGTTATTTGTAATGCAACATGTGGCCATGTTTGGATCAGAAGATTTTGCATGCATTCGTACTTGCTGTATTTCATTTCATAGATCAAAAGTAGTGGATTTTAAATGTAACAAATATGTGCAAAAAAAAAAAATTTAAATGGTATAAAATAGAACTTAGTATTAGTCATTTTTTGTTCTACTTACACTGTTTTTCTTCTTTAAAGTTTAAAATTTTTCTGTGAATAAAAATCTCCTGCTGACCTTACTTAAAAATATCATTCAATATTTTAATTAGATAAAATAAATACTTGGTTTGAGAATTAATTTTGTCCTTAGATTACATGGTGGATTTATATATTGTAAAAGAAAAGATAAAAAAGGAAGTGAACAAACAGTATTATTGTAGTATTATTACAGTATTATTCTCTCTATGGTAGCTTCTGTAACGTCTTTTTTTTTTATTTCAAAATGAATTGTAGTGAATTGTAGAATCTCAGCCCACCTTTTCTTTGCCCATTCCTGCTTTTTCAATGCCTGAAACATCCAGGCAACAAATATGCCGCTGTTTACTTTTATTCTAAAATGGGAGCTTTTATTAAAATCCAAGTTCACATAGCTTTCTTTATATTTGTGCATAGTGTAATCTTTCAGTTCTTTGCTGTTGTCAGATCATGTTTTGTTTTTCAGTGGCAGTTACTCCTAAAATTAGGATAGTTTAAAAGTAGCAAGACTGACATCCTCAAAAAAAAATAAGAAAGACATCATCCATATCCATTATAAAGCTTATTTAATTGCCGACATGCATGTAGACATTGTTTTACATTACCTGCTGCAATTAACACCACTTGTTCTCCTGAGTTGCTTTCACTTTTGGGGTGGACCAGATCGGGAGTGATGTCCACTCACTAGTGCGCTAATGCTGCAATGATGGGATCTCTTACCACCTGAGGGGCTAATGGGATTTTAGCCTCTGTACAACTGGCACTTCTCTAATCTGCTTGTCAGTGAGCAGACACCCCCGAGAGGCACAAAATTTGAGGACGAGAGTCGGAGGAAATAGGTTGAGGGCATAAAATCATTATATGATCGCTGCTGTCAGGGTCCACTGGAGTGTGCCGCCCGCAGCGCTAACATCACAGATCAAATTAGGTTAAAAGAGAGACAAAAACACTGTCCTCCGTGTTAATTCTCTTCGCACGTGCCGTTTAAATATGTTTAACTTTTGAGGAGAACCTTATGATTATAGCGTGATATAATTGCATCCAGCTTGTTCATTAAAGTCTTAAGGCGACCTTGAGTGTATGTAATGGAAAATAAATGATTCATGATTTTGCGATTATTTCTTTGATTGGATTTAGATTATTAGAACTTTTTTATAGAGATGAGAAATTATGTTTGATTGCTTGCGCCCTTCATTTATTTATTAATAAATCAAATACTGATAAATCATTGAACACACACTGCTAGCACAGTTTAATTGTGTATTTTTTATATGTAGTAATAGAAACGTTCTTACGTTTTATAATGATTCACCATGCAGTGAAATAAGCAAAATGTCATATAGTTTATTAAAACAACTCACAGCTGGAGTTTTATTAGGACTTTTGTTATAAAAGTAGTTCTACTTTTAGGTTATTTAATGAAGCGGTTTTATTATGACGCAACACATGACAAATCTATCGTGGCATTTTGTTTTACACAACATCCCATTTTTGCCGCCTGTTGTCACATCGGAGTGGAAGATGTTTCTAATTTGGCCTCCACCGTGGACTACGGAGAAATGATTAGAGTGGAGGAAATTGGAGGATTAAAATTGTCTGCTTGAACTTCCTGAGCACCGCATGCTCTCTCAGTGTCTCTGCTCTGGGACTTCCAGGCCGAGCCCTGAAGCGAGGGAGCAGCTTCTCTATCCCACTCGCTCAGACCTCCAGAGCTGGGCTGGTGCTCAGGGCTCACACTGAGTGTACAGTGACTCTCAATCTGTTAATGTGTGCCGCGTTACCAGCCCTGAGTGACTCACCACCCACCTGATGGAGTCGGCTTTAATTTGTCAATGGGTGACAGAGCAGCACCTTTAAAAAGAGCAATTTAGAACTATACTGCGTTTTGTTGTCTAGATTTTTTTTAGTTACTCTGACTTGCATTATGAAGTCGTTTCTAACTTTTAGAGACATTCTGCTTGACTTAAGCAAAGTCTCTAATATCCGTTCATATGTTTAATGTCTTTTGTAGAAAATGTGCCTGAGGGTGTCTTTGCCTCTTTTGTAATGTGATGTATATCTGCTTCATGAGCCTAGTGTTTGATGCCCAGTTCCAAGAGCTCATTTTGTTACTTGTTTTTATCTTCTGATTATATTTATACATATATATCCCCCCCCATATTAAAACTGCCAGAAGCTGTGAAATGCATGTTCCAATAAATTAATGCAGTGATGGGCTCTGAGAATATTGACAGGTGAATTTTAGCATTCTCTGAAACTCGCACTTGGCACGCGATTGTTTTGTTGGCATTCCATCAGGAGATGCGAAGAAACGAGGATCAGATTTGGACGTGGTTCTGTGTCAAAATAAAAAGGAAAAAGAAAATAACAGGAAGTATAGGAAGCTGAATTTGGAGTCAAAGGTATATTTATGTATATCAATTTTGTAGTTCTAGAGAGTGTATATGTGACTACCAAAATATATATATATATATATATATATATATATATATATAATTAGCTGTTTAAGCTTTGCGTGCCTTTAAAGTGTTGCTCTGTAATGCATTATACACATTATGCATATTAAATGTATAATGTCCTACATTTCTCCATTATAGCGGCTTCTCCATTATAGCAACACGGACAGGTTGATGGCTGTTCCCAGTGGCCGGGTTGTCACTGCTATGTGACACCTATACCCTTGCCAAGGCCAAATGGCCCTTTCTAAGCATGTAGAGTGAGCGCTAAAGACAGTTTGGCCCAACTGCCACAAAATAGTCCTCCCCGTACATGCAAAGTGTCTGCGTTCGTCTATATTTGACCTGATGCTATCAAAGCTGTTTGTGAGACGATTCGTCCCATTGTCTCACTTATACCTTACGTACCTCCCCCTCTTTTCGATCTAAGCCCGTCTCTGTGTGTCTATGCTGTGGAATGAAAGGATCAATTGTGTGGAAGAGATGCGTGT